TTTTACAATTAAAGATATTAAATTAGGAAGTTATAAAAGAAGAATAAGTTTAGCTCGTTATTTTCAAAATAAAAATAAATTACAATGGGAAAAGTTAGAGAAGGAAAGATTAGAAGAAGAAAAGTTAAAAACACCAGATCAAATTTATTATTGAAGAAAAGTCACGTGACGTCATTTTAAGAATTTTTCGTAACATTTCATAACAAGAAATAAAAATTAACACTTATTTTAAAAAATCAATTTTTTAAAATAAAAAATTATTTCTTGTTGAAATAATTTATACACAATATGGTTCAATGTTAACCCAATATTAATATTAATTTATGGTTGAAAATAAGGTTGAAAATAAAAATGAGCAAATACCGGCAATCTCTTACTACTCGCATCAATTTTAAAATCAACTAATAAAAAATTTTTATTGGTAATTTTAAAATTAATGCACGTTTTTACGGTCCATTAGTAACGTTTTTCATTATGCTAAACTTTTAATACGATACGTTTTCATAAAGTTGTTTGTCACTCTTTTATAAGTTAATTTAGTTTTAATATTATTTGAACATCCAATTTATTCTTCTAGATATTTTTCTTCTTCAATTAAAATTTGGGAATACTAATGTTGCTTGAACAAAGAATGAATTTTAAAAGTTATAAGTGCATTATAAAAGTAATAACACAATTATAGTGTTATTACTTTTGTAATGCAGTTAGTGACTAGAGTGTTATTAATTTTGTAATTTGTTTTGTAAGTTTGTTGTTTTATTTTTTATTTTTTCGCTAACAAATTTAAGTTGATTCTCCCTTTAAAAACAAGGAACACAGTTTTCTATAAACAAAAATTTTGAATACTAGATATTTTTTTCGTTCTTATTATAAATGGCAGTGAAACAGTTACTAATTATACTTTATTTCTTATTATTCTCTATTACAACCAAAAAATTTATAAATTGGTATGTTTAATTAATTACAAATGGAAAAAAAAATTAAAGTATTCAATTTGTGGAGAAAGCAGAATTAGCCTCATATAAGTTATATACAAAAAAATACAGATAATGTTTTGTTTTTACGCTTATTTGATATTTAGTATTGCTTCCTGAATTTTTAATGACTTCAAATTTGCAATTTGGCATACTAGTTACAAGATTTTAGATTCTATAGATATTTCATTCCAAGCTTCTCTGATACGAATTTTCAGTTCCAATGTGGATTCAAATTGCTTACCATTTTCATAAAGCTTTCTAGAAAGTATTCCCCATAAATTTTCAATTAGGTTTAGATCTAGACTGCATTAGGACTATTCCATTATGTGAGTATTTTTTCTCTAAACCAAGCTTTTGTAAGATTTGAAATATGGATAGCAGCATTGTTTTGTTGAAAAGTGAAACATTGATTTCAGTCTTTGTTTAACTTATAAATAATGATAAATTAGTCACAAATCCGTATCACCAGATCAAAATATGTAAAATATGTAGTAAACTTAGAATAATTATAAATAATTCTATTTGTTAATGTACATACACACAAATATATATAATTAGATATGGTTAGCAATTTTATGCCATTTAAAATCATTAAATATCACTAATATAAATTAAGTTATCACTTATATATATTGTTTATTTGTTTATGTCAATTTCTTTCACATATTTGACAACTTTTGATCAAAATTTCCTCTTTTTCATACTTTTCATCAAAGGTGGCAAACTATTATATATTTTAATTTCTTTGCAGAATGTGATAGTCTCTAGATTTTTTTCTAGATAATCTGAGGTGTCTTTGCATATCCTTATTTTTAACCCACATATTTTTAGCACAACCATATTTTTTAAATTGTGTAATATGTAAGAATATAAGAAATCTTACTAAATGCTTTTTTTATATAGCTATTTAACTCAGTTAACCTATTTTTTCGGATTTTTTTGTGTTTTTTTTTTGTTTTGCTATATAATAAGTTCTTTAAAATTCAATAAATCATCTAATACCACTCCTAGATATTTGACTTTTTCACAGAATTAGTGAGTGACCAGGGCTCCAGCCCTGGCCCTGGCTAATAATGAGACTTTTTGCAAACCCGGCCACAGCCGGGTTTGCAAAAAGTCATTAAAAGTCAGAATGAGTTTTGGTTTATCATTGATATCTATGATAGCTCGTTTGAGCATTGACTATGATTGTATTTGTAGAAAAAAGAAAGAAATGCAACCTTAAAACAATGGGAGAGTGGCTCAAGCTTGGCAAATAAAGCAGGTCTAATTACATTTACAATGTGCTTTTAGACTTTGTCTGAGAGTTGTTTTTTTGTCAATATAGGAATGCCAACAATATTGCAATATTTTTTTGCAGTAAATAAATGAATTTTGTTGTCTAACAAAAATTGTGGATTTTAAGTCCAGAATTTAAATCCATAAACCAATGCAAGCCTTAGGCTGTTACAGAAGAAAGTTCAGATTTAAAATCGGCTGCTTGTTCTAAGCAATTAAAAAGTGAAAATTTTTTGTCAAGACAAGAGTATAAAGTTGAGTTGTCAGCAAATAGAGCCACTTAGATTTCATGGAGATAGAATATAGGAGCGATGCAGATGCAAAGAACCTTGTGGTGCCCTTAAAGCCTCCTAAAATAAAGAAGGTAGGCCTTCAAGAATAACTTTACTTTAGCAGTTAGAAAGAAACAGTTTAATAACCTCAAAACCTTTATATAAAGAAACAGAGTGAAGACTAATTATAGGATAGTTAAAGTGGTGAAATTGTTTTTTAGAGTTTTGAAAAATGAATGTTTAGCACTTTTTAAAAGTTACGCAAAAATAGAGAGTTTTGGAGAACACTTGATTGATGGAAATTTACTCTAAAATACAAACTGTAGAAGTGTTTAATTGAGAATTAACTTAAGCATTGAAAGCCAGAGTGATTTTAATGTTTAACAATGGCTTAATCTGTTTAACTTTCAGCAAGAGTATGGTTATTATATTCAAGAGTCAAATTAAAGTAAGATTTCTTTGCAAATAACTATGCTTTATTTTGGGGAGAAGTAAAAAGGTCAGACCCAAAAGATCATTTAGTAAAGTGAAAATAACAGAGCTTAACATCAGACAGGGCTTTTTTTACATTGGCTTCTTCTCAAACTTTTATTATAGAAGGAATAAAAAGCTTCCACTTCCACAGATACACTTTATGCATACATATTCTGGATATTAACATATTTGTTTGTAGTAAATGACCGGGGTTGGTATTCGATCTGGGCCAAGGCTAGGTTTATGGCTGGGGCTGTATAAACATTGGTGCATATTAATATGATATATAAAAATAAGTTAATATGCACTAATGCTTATGTAGTCCCGTCCGTAGAACCAGCTTTGGCCACAGTCAAATATCAGCTCCGGTCGTTTACTATATGTTTGCTATTGATTTAGATGCTGGAATACAATATTCTTTCATTGTTATAAACTTTATATGGTAAATAAATAAAGTATTTATATGGTGTAGTATTTGCCAAAAGAGAAGATGATCAAATGGATGTGTGGTGTGACTCTAGCAAGACAAGAAAAGGAGGCATAACCATCGATAGAATAATAAAAACGTTGTATTAAACATTGTTTGTTAGAAAAGATTAAAGTAATTTAGGTATCAGCATGTAGAGAGGTAGTAGCTTCAGTAGAAAATGGTAGTGGTAGAAGTAAGAAAACTTGAAGAGAGTACCTTACATATTGTATGATTGAACTTTTATCAAACATTAAACATTGAGGGGTCTAAGCCCATTTAAACATTTTAGAAGCCCGTTATAAAGAAATATAAATTGAATTTTAAATAATTTAAACAAAAATTAAATAACAAAAACATAAAATATTAACAATATTAATGTATGTATGGTACATCCAAAAAAATTCAAATAATCTTTTATCTTGCTCTAGAGCAGCAGAGTGTAAAAGTTAACACTAAATTCTCTTTTTCCATTTAAAGTACAGAATTCCTCTTTATGATGAGTATACTCTTCTACATGTTTAAATTTATATGGAATAAATTCAAAATGAAGTCTTCACACTGTTTGGCAAACTGTCTTGAATCGATAAAAAATATATAAAAAATAGTCTTTTAATACACCTTTGCATCTCAGTTTTCTTAACACTTATAGTTCAATGTATGAAAGACTTTGAAAAAATAAATTCTGAAGTCAAACCCTTTTGTGACTGAGTATAAGTTAGCATTTACTAAATTATTAAGTTTACTGAACAGTGGAGATTTCATTCTAAATTTAAACCTACATGGAATAGATTTCAACATGTAGAAGAGTATACTCAATACATCAAGAGTGACTCTGTAGCTACTTTTAATGGAAAAAGTGTTTAATTTAGCATTAATTTTGGCATGCGCTATATAGCAGGTTAAATATTTGATTTTTGTTGGATTATGTACTATACATACATTAAAACTGTAAATATTTTTAAATGTTTTTGTTATTTTAAACAAAATAATTTTTTTTTTTATTTTAATTTGTTTCTAATGAGATTACTTAATGTTTAAATGGGCTTAGGCCCCCTCAATATTACCCCTTGCCCGATCCTTATCATTTTAGTCCAATTTTATAAACACTCTTTTCTATTTTTATAGAACAAATACTCTTAATTTAAAAAAATTTTATAATGTGCATCTAAAATGCCTAAATGGGCTAAGATCCCCTTAATTTTGCCCTTTTGCCCCAATTATGACTCTTAGCACTTTTTTTGGATTTTTAAAAACTCATTTCTATTCTTATAAGACTCTTAAATAAAAAAAGTTTCATTGGAGTAACACGATGTAAAACCTGGCAGTCTCTTTGACCACCAGTGTACAGAATATATATGGAATATGTTTTAATAATTTAGTTGTGTATACATGGTCCAGACAGTGACATTTTGTGTAATGCTCATATGTAGATATATTTTTTATATGCATATAGATATATATACATATTTTCTTTTTTTCTTTTTTTATAGATAGATATGGAGGTAAACATGTATGTATCTTTTTTTTTAGACTTGATGGTGTTATTTACATTAGTGTTGAAGATCAAAAAAAATTGGGTTATGAAACAGTTAATCTATTAAAATATAGAGCATATACTCGCAAGAACATAGGCTATTTGTATGCTATTCAACATGGTGCTAAGTATATTTATGACACTGACGATGACAATGTTCCCAATACAGGTAAAATTGACTTTGATATGACTTTAAAAAGAAAATATTTGGTCTACCATTCAAATCGTACCTTTTATAATGTTTTTGCCCATTTTGGTCAGAGTACATTGTGGCCCCGGGGTTATCCCTTAAGTTTCATTGGAGATCTTCCTATACGAACATATCGCAAGTGTTTAAATACGGAACCATATGTCCAACAGGGTGTTGTTAATGGAGATCCTGATCTTGATGCTATTCAAAGGTTAACTAGGAAAGATTCAAATGTTAAATTCAATATCAAATTTGATGAGAAACAAGAGCCAGTTGTGTTACCTCATAAATCGTTTACTCCTTATAACTCTCAAAATACATTTCACAGCTATAATGCTTTTTGGGGCCTGCTTCTCCCTCAAACAACTGCCTTTCGTGTCACTGATATTTGGAGATCGTACATCACTCAACGGTTGCTATGGGATATTGGTGGTCATCTTGCATATTATGGTCCTAATGCGTATCAAGATCGTACTGGACATGATTATCTGCTCGACTACCTTGATGAAAGTGCACTATATAATGATTGCTTAACATTAACAAACTTTTTGTTGCGTTGGAAAAGCAACAATAATTCGGTACTCACTCGTTATTTTGAACTCATTAAAGACTTATACAAGCAAAAAATACTTAAAATTAGAGATGTCCATATAGCTAAAGCTTGGGTTCGTGACCTTTTAAGTTTCGGATATCAAGCTCCTAACATTACAAAAACAAAAATGGAATGTTCAGAAGAAATATATCATATTTATCCTAATGAACAACCATCTAGTTTTCCAAGAACTGGTCTCAATTATGTTAATGTCAATTCGGTTGATAAAAAACCCTAATCTAATTATGTCTTGCTGTTTATACATAATGATATATTTATGTTTATTTATGTGTATGTTTGACGCTCAAAGATTAAATTAGACAAAATGTCTGCAATCCTTTAATTTGAATCAGGAATAAAAAATATTATAATTTTTAAATAAGATGATTTTTAAGTAGTTTAAAAAACTTGTTCTAAATATAAAAATAACTTTAAAACTTTTTTTTAACATTTACTCAGATTTCGTAGTGTAACAATTTTGATCTTGTAATTTGATATACGAGTTTATAGCAAACGAGTTTGTAGGGAAATAGGGTACATATGTAAATAATGGGTAATATTTTATTTAAAAGCAATTTGAAGCTAATTTGAAGTTTTTAAAGAATTTTGATAATTTATAGATAGTACATTGTTGATTTAATATTTCTTGTGATGATTTTGCATTAATGACCAAATATCTTCGTAATAAAAAATTTACCAACGGACTAATTTCATTATTTTTTACAAAATATTGAAAAAAGAAGTTTGAAAACTTCCAGACTTTTAGACTTCTCAGACGATGGCTGTTAATGCTAGTTCGGAAAGCTTTTTACATGTAACTAAAATAAATATATTTTAATAGTTATTTTTCCTTTAATGGGTCTAAATTTTTTTTTTTTTTTTTTTTTTGAAGTATTAAGAAAAGTAACTAGCTTGTGTAGATATACTTTATGTAGCTTCTGTGAAAGTAACTAGCTTGTGTAGATGTACTTTATGTAGCTTCTGTGAAAGTAACTAGGTTGTGTAGATGTACTTTATGTAGCTTCTGTGAAAGTAACTAGCTTGTGTAGATATACTTTATGTAGCTTCTGTGAAAGTAACTAGCTTGTGTAGATATACTTTATGTAGCTTCTGTGAAAGTAACTAGCTTGTGTAGATGAACCTGCTTCAACAGATAACTGGAAACTAAATTTTATGCCTATTAGTAATACTGCTGAAGCTTCTTTGACAATTAATATTTCACCAGCTGCAACATCAGCAGTAGTTTCAGCTTTTCTTCAAGACCTTATCCTTTTTAATACCAAAAATTTATATCAGGGCTCCGTCAGGGTTTTTTGGCTGTAGATCCTAAAAAAATTGTTAGAGCTAGGAAAGCAGTAATGGCTAAAGCAAAGACAACAGAAAAAATGAAGTTTCAATTACAACCTATCAAAGGTATATTTGCTGATGGCAGAAAAGATTTTACCAGAGTTTTAAATCTCAACCCTGTAACAAAACGATTTCATCAAAGGGTGTAAAAGAAGAACACATTAGTGTTCTGAACCTGACGGTCACTATATTACACATTTTACACCCATGAAGGTAATACCTCCCAATAAGCCTGCTAAACAAGCAGCTGTTGGACTATTTGACTGGATGTCTTCTTGGGGAGTACATAAATCTCTAGAAGTAATAGGAGGAGATTCAACAAACGCTGTAACTGGTTCAGGGAAAGATGGAGGTTTGTTGGTAAATCTTAAACAATTGTTAGGTAGAAAGTGTTTCTGGTCTATTTGTATGCTACACTGCAATGAGCTTCCTTTGAGCACATTGTCACTCTGGATGGACCCACCAATTTAAATGTTGGTTTTACTAGACCAATTGGAAAAGCTCTTTCAAAAGTAAAAAGTATGGAAAGACTTAATACATTTGAACCTATTGCGCAGTTGGAACTATTAATCCAGATCCCTGAAAAAATTTTAAGTTCAATAAAACATTTTTTTAATAGACAAATAAATTTGATTATTTATACTGTAAATATATGTTTTAACATAAATATGTTACTTTTCCGAACAAATAGTTAATATTAATGTCATTTGTTTTTTTTTCTTTTTTATATCTATTTAGACACAAATAACATAAAAATCGGATTAAAATTTATTTGTTTTTAAGATGTCAATTTTACAATTTGACTTAAGAATAAACAAGTTCCATGGTAGGTAGAGAACTTTATTTTTTTCTCTAATTTTTTTGTTATTACTTAATATTACTTGAAGTTTCTAAAAAATTAAAAAACCCGTGTAAAAAGTCTGGTGAGGGCAATCATTTTCCCAATTTTTTTCATTTGCTACACACAAGTAACATTAAAATTATACTGAAGTTCACTGAGATATAATTTCTTTTAATTCGGAATCTTTGCGTTCTGATATATATGAATATTTTATGATTGATGACAAAAAAAAACAGTTTCCCGGTAGGTAAAAAAAAAAGTTTTGAATTTTTTTTTTTTTGAATTTTCATTTATTATATATATTGGGACTATAATATTGATGCTAGGAGTTTCTTTGCTCATTTTTTTTTTTAAGTGACGTACCCTAGTATTTATAGTTCCACCATTAGTGATGAGCGATAATGGTTTGAAGGATTAAATATTTGGTCTTTGATGTTAAATATTTGCATATTTGATATTCAGTTTTTTTTGCAATTTTAAATGATTTGATGTGCTCAGCATTATAAAGTTAGTAATCTATTTAAATAACTAAGTATAAAGAGACTATTTAGACTCTGTAAAACATAAATATTGTCTTGAACAGATGGTATAAATCGAGATCCTTTCTCAATATCAAATCACGAAAAATGCTAGTTCAACTTCGGAGGGAATTTCACTTTTAGATAGTGCTATTTTTACCTTCTTTTTATTTTGAATGAAATTTTGAAAATTTAACATCTGAAAAGGACATAGGTTCTGGATTTTGCCAACAAACGAATGTTGAAATAAAGGGTGTTTCAGTTGTGAAAAGATAATGTCTGCATTTGATTTATTATTAAGAAGACAAAGGAACAAGTTTAATTTATTTTGTTGAATACTTTTTAAAATTTCCTAGATTTTAAATAGCGAATTTATATACTTCTTAGTGTGTTACGAAGCATTTAAAAGCAATTTTAGCGCATTCCTTCCAATTATATCTTTTTCATTAAAGCTGAATTATTTTCACATAGCTCCATGTCATAAGTTAAAATAGGGACTGCCAATAATTTATATATATAGGAAATTGAACTTATGTCGGCAAATTGGATTCCAGATTAAATAAAAGTTTGAACAACAGCTCTAAAATTTGAGATTTTTTCATCAACATTTGTACAACTGAGTGAAACAAAAATTTAATGTTTACTATCCAATGTGAATCCCAGATGTTTGCTCTGAAGGTTTTTGTTTATTACGAGAAATTGTTACCGTATTGGTTTGTATTTGTGCTTTACCTGAAATCAAGAACTCAGTTTTTCCGGCATTTAGTTTGGCAGGCTGAATAAGCACGAATTGACATAAGTGCAAAGCGTTGCAAAAACTGGAATAAGCGCCAACTGGCATATGTGCGAATTGGCATAAGTGCGCCAAAAGCACTTATGCCAATTCACACTTATGCCAATTCGCACTTATGCCAGTTCGCACTTAAGCCAGTCTTTGTAAAAGCTTAGCACTTAAGCCAATTCGCACTTATGCCAATGTTTGCAAGTTTGTTCGGCGCATTTGTGCCATTTCGCACTTATGCTAGTTCGCATATATACCAGTTTTTACAAAAGCTTCGCACTTATGCCAGTTTGCGCTTATGACAGTTTGCACTTATGCCAATGTTTGGAAATTCTTTTGGCGCACTTATGTCAATTCGCACTTATGCCAGTTCGCACTTGTGTTAGTTTTTGTAACTGCTTTTTTTTTTTTTTTTTTTTTTTTTTTTTACAACACAAGTATCCGTATATATTTCAATAAAACAAAATTACATATTTTTACATATTAGTACAAAACGTACAATTAAACAATTTTTGTACCAATAAATTTTTACAAGACAAAAGAAATTCAAAATTCTGTTTAGCGCATGCGCGATGTACAGTGTACAAAATAAGGTAACTATTCGTTGTTTACAATATAAAGCGCTGGCTATTAACCCATGCAATTAAAAAATATATGCAAGTCCGTCGTACCACAGGCTTCTAGGGACTTGCTTGTGGACGTTGTTGAATATATATATATATAATTATTCTTAAAAAATATTTTTCTTTGTTGTAAGGAAACTCGCAGAAGACTAAAAAAGTCTTTTCATCAAGAACCTTTAAAACATAAGATAAACTTTAGTAAACTAGTTCAACAAATACATAAGTATTTTGGTATCTACTATATAGTAGAAGTAGTAGGGCTTTTTATTATTACTATTTTTCCCAAATTGTTTAATACATTTCGATGAAGTTAATTATGATATGTTTTAGTTTTTTTTTCAGAGCAATAAGGTAATCCATTTTATTAAGTTCCATATTTTGAAGTATTATTTTGTTATGTAGGTATTTATTATGATCTGTAACAACGCATTGTTTTCTGCTACTCAGGTAACTTTTGAACAAGTCAAGGGATATATTTTTAACACCATATCTTTCCATTTTTTCAAGTAAGATATTGTGATTAACTGTGTCGAACGCTTTAGATAAATCTATAAAAGTCCCTAATACAAATTTTATCGAAAGAATTACTCATGCTATTTACAAGATCTAAAATGGCATGTTCGGTTGAGTGTTTTGTTTGAAACCCGAATTGTTTTTTGTTTAAGAGGTTATTTAAAGGAGATATTCGTATAATCTATTGTAAACTATTCTTTCAAGTATTTTAGAGAAAGTAGGCAGTATAGAGATCGGTCTGTAATTATTTGATAAAGATGTTTCGCCTGTTTTAAAAATTGGTATAGTTTTAGCTGTTTTCAATTTATCTGGTACAGTACCTGTTTTAATTGATGAATTAAATATTTCGAAGATCGGTTTGCGTATCTCCAAAAAGACATCGATAACGATATTGCTACAAATATCATCTATACCTGGAGATTTATTTATTTTAAGAGATTTTATCGCAACTTCAAGTTCTTCAATTTTTAGTTCGCTAAATGCTAATTCGTTGTTGTTATTTTTTTTTTTTTATTTATTTCGTCAGTAAAAAAAAAAAGAATACAATGCCGTGTAATATAAATAAGATCTACATGACCGGGGTTAAAAGAAGACAATACTTGCCTTATCACTACACCCCGACGTGCTTTCATAAGCAAGCGTGTACAACCATTAAAAGTTAAATATACAATTACTTTGTGCCATTTAAAAAATTATATACAATTATTTACAAGTATGTTAAGACTAGTAACTAATCTATAATCAAAAGAAAATAGTAAAAAGAAATTAAAAAAAAAAATCAAAACTATAGATAAGCTAATAGGATAGTTTATAAAGTTAATAAGATAATTGTTAAAAATAAAGAAAAAATAAAAATAAAAAATTTTTAAAAAGAATTTAATTCATTAACATCGTTAATAAGTTTTTGTTTCAATTTTTTTTTGAATAGGTAAAGAGAAGAACAATTTTTCAGCTCGTCACTTAATAAAGCGTTCCATAATTTAGGACCTCTTATAGCAATAGAAAATTTGGTAGCCAAATAGTTAAGTATGTTATTAGTTAAGTATGTCTCAAATGAGTTGTTTGGACAATTTTTTTTTTTTTTTTTTTTTTTTTGCTTTGCACTTATGCCAGTTTGCACTTATTCCAATTCGCATATATTCCAGTTGGCATTTACACCATTCGCACTTATGCCAGTTCGCACTTATGAAATTCGCGCTTATTCAGTCGTCCCATTTAGTTTAATACAACTTAGATTACTGTAAATATTGCATGTTTCTATAAGATTTTTCAGACGAGAGAAGGTAGAACTTAAAAGTATGTTATCATCCGCATATGCTGCTACATCATAAACTTCATCATTGTTATATTATTACATAGTTATTACTATTGTTTCTTTTGTAGTAATTTTATTAATATCAATATCTTTATTTCTAAACTGATTTCTACTTATTATTTCTAAACTATGCAAAATTTGTGATAAAAATATTCGTGCTAATCATCATTCACTTCAATGCAACCACTGCCTAAGTTCAATCCACAAGAAATGTAGTTCTTTGAATAATAATGATTTTAGTTTATCAAAAAAAATCTTCCTGTAATATCTGGGTCTGTATTACATGTTGCAACAGTATTTCTCCTTTTAGTTCTATATCGATAATGAACTACGTCTTCAAACTTCAATTGACAATATATTACATCAATATGACAATGATCTGCCAAATTACCTTTCCGTCTTTCCTTGCTCCCGAGAATCTGATACTTTTAATCAACTTAATAATTACTTTACCATCAGGTAAATAACAAAGACGATGATGATATGGATATAGCTGAGAACCCAATCAATTGTAAATACATAAACATCAATTGTAAATACATAGACAGAAAATTTTAACTCTTCAAACATCAATATTAATTCTTTTTCTCTATTTTATTTTAACACCGCGTCATTAGTTAAACATTTTGACGAAATAACTTCACTTTTATCTCTAATAAATTATAAATTTAGTATAATCGGAATTACAGAAACTAAGCTTAAATCTGATTTACTCCCAACAACTCTTAGTGGATATGTGTATGAACATACTCCAACAAAAACTTCATTTTGTTCTACTTTGTATTTCTAATAAACTAATTTAGAAATTTAGAAATGATTTACTTATGTATAACCCCAATTTTTAGAGTCTGTGTTTGATAAAATCATTTTTCCTAAAAAGTTTAATATTATAGAAGGCTGTGTATTTCGCCATCCTAACATAAATATTAATGAATTTAATGTTTTATATCTATTTGAAAAACTTGCTGTTGGAAAAGATAAAACTATCTTTGTAATAGGTCGTATAACAGCAAACTCAAATAATTCAACCTCGGAATATATAAACACTTCAAAAAATTAAATAGTGAAAAATTCGGGAATAATTAATTGAAAATAAACTGGGATAAAGTAATCAAAGTTTCCAATGGTAATTCAAATAAATCGTATAAAAATTTCTTTGCTAGCTTTAACTCTCTTCTAGACAAACACGCGAAAAAAATAAGTAATCGTTGCGTGACTCGCAACGATTACTTAGCTTAAATCATGGATTACTTTGGCAATTTTAACCTCGATAAAAAACGAAACAATATATTGAAGAAGTTCCTTAAAAAAAAAAGTCTATATCACAAACTAATTCTTTAAAAAACTATATGAACTTATAGAAATTTACTTGTAACGCTTATTCGAAGAAGCAAAAAGAACCACTTTTTAAATGACTTTACTACCGATAGCAATAGTTTAGGAGCTACGTGGAAGGGTATTAGAACTCTTTTGAATATACGTTCGGATGATATCTCCTATCCATCTTGTATATCTTCAAACAATACCATTATAAATGATCCAGTTAAAATCTTTTTTAACTCCTTTTTTTTTCAATCCCTGAAGAACTGCAAAAAACTATTCATTCATCTCATACTCACTTCCATAAGTATTTAAAAACATTAAACTCTGATTCTCTTTTTATTTAACCTGCTGATAAAAATAAAATAATATCAGCTATTCTTTCTCTAAATAAAAACCCTAACATTGAAATTTTCACAGATGTTTTATAACAATGCAAACAACAATCTAAGTCAGTTTCACATTTAAACTATCAAAATCTCCAAAAATATAATCATTTTCATAAAAACTCGTGATTTTCACAGTTTTACTCGCCTATTCAAAATTGTATAAATCTAAATCTAAATAAGCAAGATTCTTCAATGAGGGTCATTTTGTAGCTATAATAGTAGCGAACATTTGTGGGAAATTTCAAGAAGTTTCATAAAGTCTTAGTGAAGATATTTTGTAAACGTCAAAACAACAAAAAACACGTTCTGTGAAAAAACAGTTTTAAAAATCAGATAGGATGAATCATGGTTAAAAAAACTACGCCTCAGTGCGAGGCGTTGGATTTTCGCACTAAGGCGCAAGCCTCATTCAAATAATAAAACGTTTGCCTTTATTGGTTCGATGAGGCGCTGAGGCGTGAAGCGCTGAGGCTTTCCTAAGGCGTCGCCTTATTTACAACCTAAAAAGACCACGTATGTCGCACGTGAACTTTATTTTTCCTAATAAGGGCTTACTTTCCGATTCTGGCCCCCGAAACCCTCCACTGCGAGAAACCCTCCGTCTGGTCTTCTGCGCCATCTTTTGGTTTTCTGCGATGCATTGAGCCTCGCTTTTGGGCTGCTCGTAACTCATCGTATTGCGTTGAGCTCCGCTTCGGCCATCAACTCTATTTTTTAGTCTTGCTCCAAAAACATTTTTTTAAATTACAGTTTGCTTTAAACGTTTTTAACCAATTTTTTTAGTTCTAGGAATGTGTTTAGAGTTAGTAATTACGAAACAGACAACATAATTAAACTCGATTTGAATTCGTATCTTCATATGGAACGCATTATAAAAATCGATTTATTGAAAGCTAAAATAAAACTTTAAAAAATATTTTAATTTATAAAGTTCGTTTTTAGACTTTGATAATACTTTGTTATATGCATATATTATTATGAACAAAATATAGCTTAGTCGGCATATTTTTATTTTTATTAAGAAAATGAATGTATTAGAATGATAATGATGGATATAATAAAATTTATAAACATATATCTAACTTATATATTCCGAAACTGTATAATTAAACCATATCTTAAACTCATATGTCCGTATAATTGTATTAACTAATCGTTAAATTCTTTACATGGAATTGTATAATCAATTGCGGCTCACTATGATTAATCATTCCTTTTTTTTTTACTATTTTGTAAATTTACGGCTTTAAAGATATGGCAAGATTTGTCAAAAATATTTAGGAGGACTGATCCTGGCTGGAAGTATTGTGTTGAACTTCCTTCAATCAGATCGCAGGAAGGCAAACCTTATAAATATGTTGAGTGCTACTTTTGTAAGAAGTGGACCACTGGCGGAATTAAAAGGCTAAAGGAGCATCTTGCAAATAATCATAAGAGTGTTGCAGGTTGTCCACGAGTTTCCATTGAGGTTGAAGAAGAAACGAAGTCGTTTATGTTGAAAAAGACCGAGGGTAAAAGAACAGCAAGGAAAAATTTGTATTGTACGCCTTGTATTGCACACTGCATTGACTTAATGTTGGAGGACATTCTTAAGTTACCCCTCCATACTTCTGTGTTCACCAAGGCCAAGAAAATAATAAATTTTATATACGGTCATGCAAGGGTGTTACCAATGGTAAGAAAGTTTACCGGTGGAGATTTGGTGAAACCTGCTGTTACTTGATTAGCCACTGCATTTCTTACTTTGCAAAGCTTGTTTGGAGCAAGGGATGGACTTGAATCCTTTTTTACTTCAAGAAAGTGGAAAACCAATGCTTATGCATCTCGATTGGAAAAAATATGCACAACATAGTTCTAAAAAGCAAGTCGTTTTGGCCTGGTGTTGCTAACGTTCTCAACACAACAAAGTCCTTTGTTATAGTTTTTCGAATGGTGGATTCCGAGAAGTATCCACCAATAGGATTTATTTACGAAGCTATGGATAGGGCTAAAGAAAAAATTGCAAAAAATCTAAATAATGATGTTGCAAAGTATCAGATTGTGGATCTTGTGGATACTTGGTGGGATCATCAGCTTCACACGCATTTGCACGCTGCTGCATATTTTCTAAATCCTCATTTCCAATAGGAACCTTCTTTCTCTTCTCATCGTAAGATTAAATTGAGACTTTATTCTTGCATGGAGCGATTGGTGATTCAGAAGAAAGAGAAGAAGTGGATTTGCAGATCGATTCTTTTTGAAATGCACCAGATTTATTTTTGAAATGCACAAGATTTATTTTTGAAATGCACAAGATTTTATTTGGACTGGTAAATGCAGTAAGCACGAGAAAGAAGAGAAGTCCAGGTGTGTGTTTTTACTATTTTTAGTATGTTCGTAATAATATTTTTTATTTTATTTTTTTGATAAACCAGAGGACGGACCCGATATAAAATCACACCTCAACGATTTTTTTTTAATCAATTTAATAAAATAACATTACTATTTTCAGCAGATTGGTGGAGAGCTTTTGGAGATCAAACGCCTGAACTTGCAAAAATTGCCATTAGAATCTTGAACATGACTTGTAGTGCTTCTGGATGTTAACGGAATTGGAGCTTCTTCAATCAAGTAATAATATAAAGTATTTTGGTTTTATATGTTTTTCGATTTTCATCTTACTGAGCTTTAGTATTTTAATGAACAGGTGCATACAAAGAGAAGAAATCGCTTGAAGCCAGCGAAACTCAATAATTTGGTTTACATTATGTTCAATTTAAAACTAAAACACAGGGAGTTAAAGAAGAAAGCAATTGAAGATCCCCTTTGTTTGGATGATGTAGACTCTGGCGATGAATGCATCTCAGAGCTTTAAGATCCTGAGGTAGAGGCCTATGAAGATCTTGATGTAAGTATAGCTCTTGATGACCCTTTTGAAGGTATAAGATATTACTTGATATTATATTTGAATAACTGGTTTTATTTTTTTGGTTCTACTTGAATTCAAACATATATATTTCCTTTTGGTATAGAAAAAATCCAATTGATGACGGTGGATTTTCCGCATGCCAGGAAGGAAAGCGAAGAAGAAGAGGTTGAATTGAATTTCATGGACAATTCTCTCGAGGATTCTAATAGTAGTACTCTAGCTCTAGTGACAATAGCGATGATTGATGGGTTAAGACTTATGAGATTAGACCATATGTATTTCGAATCTGTAAAAGTTTGGAACTTTTAATGATTTTTTTGGAACTTCTAATGAAACAATGACTTTACTTCAATGTTATTTTCATTGCTTTTAATCTTTTCCTTAAAAAAAAAAAGCGTTTTTCTTAGTGTTGTAAGCGACTTCGACTAAATTGACTAAAAGTTGACTAATCGAAAGTAAAATATTGTTGACTTTCAATTTGATGGACTTTGGATTTTCTACTAATCGACTAAAGGTCAATTTATTCGATTAGTAGAAAATCAATTAAAATGATATTATTAATACATATATTTAATAATATCATTTTATTTAATTAAATCTTTAATTTTAGTGGTTAATTTGATAACAATAATATAATAGGTATAATTATTATGTACTGCCTAGTTTTTTTATTGTCAGATTAAGATATTGCTCCCCATTCCCCTTAAGCTAGCAATGAGTTTATGTTTACTCCCTTGAAGTTATATTCGGTGTTTGACTATTTCAATAATTTAAAAAAAAGTTGCTTGTTACCAGTCTCTGTGGTATCTTGAGAGTAACTTACGGTAACTTTATATAACTTTAAGCGAATTGTGATTTACAGAAAGTAATTTCATTCATGCCTTTTGATGACTATATCTGGTAACTAGAACTAATTTTATAATTACGGTTAGTAATGTTAACGTTTTAAATCTTTCCGATTCTACAATAACATCTAAAAAATAAACTGTCAAATAATTAGGCCTAAAAAGAGTAGGTGGAGGACAGGGATTAACTACTGGGGCCCGTATTTGTACAAATAATATTGTTTTCATACTTACATACTTTTTCTACCCTTTTTATAAATATTACTACTTCAACATTTTCTTTTTTTGATATCTTACCTCATCTGAAGCTATAAGATTTAATTGTAAGGTTCCACCTCTAATGGTCCTGAATATATGACCTAATATATAACAAGCATCCACCATGATAAGCCAATTCGCTTTCTTCAGTGCCCGAAAACTCTCTCGGCAGACCTGCTGCATACCTCATAACATTATGTTATGAGGTATGCAGCAGGTCTGTCGAGAGAAATTTTGAGCGTATAATATGCATACCGGGCCGTTCCGAGTTGAATAGGGTTCTGCGATAACTAAAGTGTAAAGTTGATTCAACAGATTTTTATCCCCTGCTTGGGGAACTGTCTAGCCCCTAAACTCGCGGCTAAACCCGTGTGGCTGAGGATCTTCAGCCCAGCAGAAACCCTTGAATACTCTCTTGCAAATGGGTAATTTTTAAGAAAACTCTATCTATTTACAGCCCCAGTCCTAAAACTGTGGTATCCGGCCCTGAATTATTTGATTAATCTTTATTAAAAATTTAAATTGCAATCATTTCAAATATTTTATTCACATATTTTGACTAAATCAACTTTTCGTCGACTTGGTCGGTTTCAAGTATGTAATAGTGACTTTGATCGACTTTAGAAAATATATTAGTTGATTTAGTCGACAGTCAAACTTTTCAATAGTCGTAACAACAGTTTAGTTTTTCTCAAACAAATTGAGGCGTACGCCTCAAGCGCATTGAGGCTTACGCCTCGCCTCATATATAGGGAAACCGCCTTAATACGCCACACACTTTTTTTAAACCTTAGTATGAATAAACATAAAATAAAGCAGAAATAACTCGATGGAATCCAAAATTATAGGGTTAATAGAAAATTATAGAAAAAAGTAAAAATATTAAATAGTTTTACTTTTTTCAGTTAGGGGTCGTTCATAAATTACGTACGACAAAAATTTTGAAATCTAACCCACCTCCCTCCCCCCTTTTGTCTAAGTCCTTTCTCCCCCTCCCTCCCTAAAAAAGTACGTATGTTTTTGAAACTAACCTAAACCTGACCCCCCCTAACTTTTTTTTTCAATGAAAAAGTTTTGGAAAAAAAAAAGTGAAGGATTACTTTATACGACCCAAATGCTCTTCGTTTGCGGCACAGGATCCGAGTTTAACAAACCTCTTCAAATATATATGCAAATATTAATTTAAATATAGTTTAATTACCTATTACCGAAGTTTTCGCTTGGTCTAGCGGTTAGTCCTACAGACTGAGGCGACGAAGATCCGTGTTTAATCCCTGGTCGAATCAAATTGTAACAAATCAAATAAAAATAAACTAATGACAAATCAAATAAAAAGAAACTATACTTGAGGTGGACCTTTTTTTTAGGCACCCCTATTTAGTAAGTCCGTTAAAAATGAGTCCTACACTAGATCATTAATATCGAAAACAAAGCCTAAAACCTAGGGCCGAGGATAGCTACCCGTACCCCTTAATTTGGGGGGGGGGAAGGGATAAGGGAGAAAGAGACAAAATATTTTGTGTCTTCTTGTTAATTTAAGGAGCTATTTATTTAAGCGAAACCTAGTGGTAAAATTTGGAAGATTTTGAGACCCAAATAACACGTTTTTTTTTGTTTTTTTTTTGGGGGGGGGGCTTCCAACCCATTAGTCACGGCACTGCTAAAACCTGTGTATGTCAACTCAAAAAGTATATTGCCTGAAATTCGCTCTACTCAGGGCCAGTATATAAGAGGTGGCATGTGTGCATGGGCGCCCGCTGGATTTTTTGATGTTCTAGATGGGACAATTTTTGCAAGCTCTAATAATTTAACTACAACTATGCCAAATGAGGAGGACTTGCAAAAAATTGAGATGGCGGAGGCCTAGGAACGAAAAAAACCCAAAACGCTATTTGGCTCCCAGGCCTCCGCCTTCATTATTTTTTGCAAGGCGTCTTTGTTTAGCATAGTTATAAACATATTTAAGTTTGGATTTTGCACAGTGTGAGAAAATGTCCTATTTGAAACATAAAAAAGTCCTGCGGGCCCCCATCCATGTGTGTGAATTGAGGGAAACTATACCCTCTACTCCCGATTTCAAACATCTTTTTATGTTGGCAAACTAGGATCTTTAGTCAGAATTTTAACTTTTCTATTAATTAACTGGTTAATTGTGATAAATTAGAAAATCGATGTGCGTATTTTTAAATTGAACCTCCCCCTCCTCCTCCCCCTTCCCCCACCTCCTCTATACGCTTTCGTACGCTTTTTGAAGACCTCCCCCTCCCCTCTATAAGTGAACGTACTTTATGGACGACCCCTTACATGAAATAGATTTAAAAACGAGCTGGCTCCGCTTTCAAATTTATTTTATGCAACAAAAGACGATGCTTTTATTTTTCCGCCAATAACTTTTATTATTTTTTTCTAAAAACTTGGTTTACAGGTTTCTTTTTCAAAAATATGTAAAAGTTTGTTAAACTTTTTTTGACGCGGTATCTTAACTTGAAAAATTAAAGAAAATATTAAAACGTATTAAATAGGGTAAATTATTCGAGCCTCGCCTACAACCCGCACTGAAATGATGTTGACAGGCTATTATTAGATTTGCACAGCTGAACTATACATCATTAGATAGCATTCAGCTACAAAACTATGTAAAATTATTTAGATTTATGAGAGTAGTTGGCAGTACCATTATAAATTGTACAGTGTGTCAAAAGCACTGATTCTCGCCCACTTGAACTCAATCTTGCCATGTTGATTTAAAGTCGCCCACTGTGTAAATTAAAAAAGAACTTATACTTGCGTAGGGCGACGTTAAATACAGGTGAGTGAGATTAAAACTCGTTAGTTAATTTTTATTCTCAATTACACCATTTTAATTAGAAAAGTATAAAACCATGGGGTTTTGTGAATGCGAAGTTTCTCCCTAGATTCTGACCTGAATCTGGATACGGAGATCAATCTCAATTGTAATTGTAAAATGTGTAAATAAAGTATAGTTTCAACACATCAATGCTTACGAGCCGTAGTAATATGACAAATATTGTCTTTTTTTTGCCCCAGTCATGAGCTTAATTTTTATTTTGAGCTGCCGTAGCGTAGTGATTAGAGCATGGTACTCATTGAATAAGGGTTGCGAGTTCGAATCCTTCTCGAAACACTTATACATTATCGGTAAAGCTCGAAATGGGGAACCAACTCATTAAATGGTTAAGCCCTTGTGGCGGTGCTCAGTGATAAGACCATTAGATCTTATCTCAATTAAGACCATTAGAATATTCTTAAATAAAAATAATAAAAATGTTTATATAGATAAGACGAAATTGTATGCATTTTTAGTTATATTAAAAAATATTGTCACAAAATTAGTACATATTTGTCAGTATTGTTCTCGGGATAAACCAATGGTCAAAATTCAGATAATAATGAAATGAACTTCTTTTTTGTTGTTGCTATAAAGTTGTTGGTACGATTTTCTAATTTTTTTTTTCTTAGCCAATACCTTTTTTTCTTCTTTCCTGTTGGATTTTCTCTTCGTGATATTTTAGCTTTACTGAGTATGCTTCTTGAAAAGTTAAAACGAAGTATTTAAACTGACTTTTTTAGTTCGCTATCTTTTTCCGTGTGGTTGCCTTAGAATATCTAAGACATCATCATCTTCATCACCTGCATTGATAAAAATATGTGTATATTTAATAAAAGAACAAGTTTTTAAATAATTTTAAAAAATTTGAATTATTTTAAAACTAAAACTTTATTAAAAGTTGCATTGTTGCTATGCAAATGTTGTTCACTTGATCAAATGAAATGAAAAAAAAAACTTTAAAATGATTGACTTACCAGGGGGTAGGAAGAAGCAAACGGAAAATTTGAAGCTGTAGTTGAATTAAAGTTTTATGGTTTCTTTTTTTTTTTTTATGCTTAGTAAGATTGGTAAAACTATTCACAATGCAGTCAAAATTTTTTTGTTCAACTGGATTGACTAAATATGCAAGCTGATTATTGCGAACATCAATCTCTGCTTCCAAAATAGAAGTGTTGCTTTGTAACGAACTGTGAGTTGCGTTATCTTCTTAAGTGCCATTTTGTAATTGTTCTAGATAATTAGCAACTTTTCCAGCATCTATAGAAGCATCAACGCCTGAAAAATTAATTTCTTGAATAATTGATGATTGGAATTCCTAAGAAAATATTAAATAAGACTTTTGAAATGCTTCATTCAGAATTTTTATCGAATTGTACATAAAATATTAGTCACAGTTGCTAGCTAAAGTTTAAATAATAATTTTTATTGTATAGTATTAGCAAAAACAAGATAGTACAATAATAACCAAAGAACAATTGTTTTCAGTTGTATTAACTGATATATCCTCAGCTATGTGTAGGTAGTTTGGTAAATGTGCATCACTAGGAATAGCCTGAGGATTAAATAGATAAATTCCACACGACTTGAACCCAGATGTAATGTTGCTAGAAGTCGTTACTTTTTCCCAAGCTAAAGCAAATATTCCAGCAAAAGTTGAACGACAAGTAATAATTCTTAGAAACTGACCCATCAGATCTTGTGCTGTAGAGCGATAATAATCCTTCAGTGGTTTGAATAAGGTGCGATCGCATAGTTGAAGCCAGTTTGGTTGTGTGTAAAGGCTTTTCAGCTATATGTATCTGGTTCTGGATAGCAAAATCAATTAGCTCAATAAAGTTGTAAGAATCGTGCCCATCCAGAATCAATAAAAATAAAAATCAAAAATCAAAAAAAAAAAAAAAAAAAAAAATTTTTTTTTTTTTTTTTCAAAAAACGCTGAAGTGAACGCACGCTTTTTTCATTGCTCAAAGAAAGTATAATCGCCTATATTATTAACAATTATTTATATTATAATAATTTAGTATTATTATTTAGTAAGGAAGTAAGAGACTATTTACACTATTTACATCAGACAATTACTATGAAAGTTTCTATAAAAAACATCGAAAAACTAATGAAAAGCATGCTAGAGGAACAGAAAAAGTGTATTTTAAAAGAAACAGAAAAACTTCATAAAGAACTAGAAAATAACTTTGCGAAAATCACTTGTGCAAATATGAAAATAGTAACAGAAAGACTAGAAAAAATTGAAAGCGATTTGAACCACGACAAAATAAAAATAAAAAGTATGCTAAAAGATATTAATGAATTAAAAGAAAGTATTGATTTCCAAGAAGAGATTTCAAAGAAAAGAATATCAGAAACTAACAACCGCATAGATGACGTTAAAAAATTATATAATGAAAAAACACTTCTTGATTCGAATAATGAATCAAATATTTTAAAAGATATCAAAGAAAAACTAATAGATCTTGAAAATCGATCCCGAAGAAATAATTTGCGAATTGATGGTGTTAAAGAACTGCCTGGTGAATCTTGGGAAGATCGTACTAAAATTGTTAAAAACATTTTTACTGAAAAACTCCAAATTAATAAAGAATTCCAAATTAATAAAGAATTCCAAATTAATAAAGAATTCCAAATTAATAAAGAATTCCAAATTAATAAAGAACTCCAAATTAATAAGGAAATTATAATTGAAAGAGCGCACAGATCAGGGGCTATAAAAACAGGAAAAGAGCGATCAATTGTTTTAAAACTTTTACATTTTAACGATAAAAAGTTAATTCTACAAAACTCAAAAAAACTACGCGGAACAGGTGTGTTCGTGAACGAAGACTTTGCAAAGGAAACAATAGAAAAGCGTAAAAAACTCTGGGGTGAAGTGATTAAATTGAGAAAAGAAGGTAAATACGCTATTCTCAAATTTGATTCTATTTTTTGTAGAGATCATAAAAAGTACTTTTTTTTTTTTTAACATACAGTATTAAGAAAAGTTCTTCTAATTCATAACACAATCAAAATGTCTGAAATAAATGATTTTAAATCGTTTAGTTGTAATTTTTCAGAAATGAGACACTCCTCATCTAATGAAAACCTAGATCCAGATATTAATTATTTCAATGATATTATTACGGATTGTTCATATTACTATCCGAACAAATTAGAAGAATTTTTTTATGAAAATACAAAAAACAATAATTTTGATCAACTAAGAATTCTTCATATAAATATCAGAAGTCTAAACCGCAATTTTGAAAATCTTCTTAATTTGTTACAAGAAACCAACAATTTTTTAAATATAATTTGTTTAACTAAAAGCTGGATAACTGAATTAGATTTAAATATTACTTCAAACTTTAATCTTCATTACTTTGAGTTAATTTCTCAAGAGAGACTTATCAATAAACGCAGTGGAGGAGTTCTTATTTATGTTAAGAAAAATATTACTTATTATATTAGGAATGATTTAAGTGTTTCTGACTGCGACAGAGAAATTTTAACTATTGAAATTCTAAACAACCAATCAAATAACATTTTACTGAGCTGTTGCTATAGGCCTCCGAACGGTGTGGCCGTGAACAGGAGCATGTATTTTGAAGAAAACCTTTTCAAAAAAGGCATCATTGAAAAAAAAAAAAAAATTTATTGTAGGGGATTTCAATATGAATTGTTTCCATTACTCTACCGACATTAAAGTTAAAAATTTTTATGATTCTATTTTTGAAATGGGAGCCATTCCTTTAATAAATCGCCCGACTAAAGTAACTTCAAAATCAGCTACTCTAATTGATAACATTCTAACAACTGATATTTTTAATAGTGACTTAAACAAAGGTATATTAAAAACAGACATATGTGACCATTTCCCTATCTTTTTTATCATTAACTTCAACTCTAAAATTTTGACTAAAACTAGCATAAAAGTTAAATTACGCAATTATAACCAAAAAAATATTGAGCAATTTAAAACACAATTATCATTGCTTCATTGGAAGAACATCGACTTTAGTGATAACGCAAACAACATCTACGATAATTTTTTAATACATTTTACTCTGTTTATGATGCCAATTTTCCTTTATATGAAAAAACTATAAATCAAAAAAACATTAATTCTCCCTGGGTTACCAAAGGTTTAAAAAAATCATCAAAAGTTAAACGGAAATTATACATAAAATATCTAAAAAACAAATCATTAGCCAATGAGAAAATATACAAAGACTACAAAAATCTTTTTGAAAAAGTTCGAAAAAACTTAAAAAAGCATTACTATTCTAAAATTCTCAATAAAACAAAAAATAATTGTAAACGCTCCTGGGAAATAATAAAAGAAATTACAGGTAAATCAAAGCCATGCTCAGGTTCCCTGCTACACATGATCAAAGTGGATAACAATATTATAAATAATTCTCAAACAATAGCTCATGAGTTTAATAAATTCTTTGTTGAAATTGGCCCTAAACTATCTAAATTAATTCCTAACACTGAAGTCTCATTTAGAGATTTCTTAGTACCGATGGATAATTGCATTCACTCGGATGAGTTATCTAAAGAGTTACTATTTGATGAGTTCGAAAAAGCCTTTAAAACTCTAAAAAAAAATAAAGCAGTTGGACCGGATGAAATCAATGGTAACATAATTTTAAATTGTTTTGAACAAATAAAACATATTCTTTTTAAAGTCTTTAAATCATCAATCGAGCAAGGAATCTTTCCCGATCAATTGAAAATTGCTAAAGATATTCCACTATTCAAAGGTGGTGACAAATCTGACATTAGTAATTACCGGCCTATCTCTATCTTGTCTATATTTTCTAAAATACTAGAAAGAATCATGTTCAATAGAGTATTTAATTATTTTAGTTTAAATAATTTATTGTTCAACAATCAGTTTGGCTATAAAAAGAATAACTCAACTGAGCATGCAATTATTCAGTTGGTTCGTGAAAGTGAGCAGCCGTGGCGCAGTGGTAGCGCACTTGTCTCAGAAACGTAAGATCCGTGGTTAGAACCCCACCTCTGGGCAAGTTTTGCGACATCGGTTGGGAAGGAGGCGTGAACTTCCTATTAAATGTTCTTCCGCGGTGCTCTGTGATAAGACCGTAAGGACTTCTTTAGGCACCTTAATCAACTTAAAATAAAAAAATAAAAAATAAAATTTCCAATTCTTTTGAAAAATCTCAATTCACATTAATAATTTTTATCGATCTTTCAAAAGCATTTGATACTGTCGATCATAATATTTTGCTTTATAAACTTAATTATTACGGAATAAATGAAAGAGTAATTAATTGGTTTCAAAGTTATTTATCTAACACAAAACAATTTGTTTTTTGTAATGAACTTAATCATAAACAGTTTTTAGATGTTTCCTGTGGTGTTCCGCAAGGTTCGATCCTAGGCCCTCTTTTATTTTTAAAATATATTAACGACTTGCATAAAGCATCAAATCTTCTAAGTATTATGTTTGCTGATGACACAAACTTATTTCTCTCTAACAGTGACATTTATCTACTATTCTCCGTGATGAACAAAGAACTTCAAAACATATCTAAATGGTTTAAAAGTAACAAATTAACATTAAATGTAAGCAAAACAAAATGGATTCTTTTACACCCTCTCCCCAAAAAACATTATCTTCCCCCAAATCTACAAAAAAATTTTATTAATCATATTGAAATAAAAAGAGATTCTGTAGGTAAATACCTGGGGGTTTTCATTGAGGAGAACATCACATGGAAACATCATATTAACTATGTCTGCTCGAAAGTTTCAAAAAGTATCGGAATTTTATATAAGGCGCGTACTCATTTAGATAAAAATAATTTAACAAAACTTTATTACTCTTTTATTCATAGTTATATAAGTTATGGAGTTAAGGCCTGGGGTAGCACAAATCAAAGCAAGTTACAATGTCTCTATCGCCGTCAGAAACATGCGATCCGTTTAATTAATTCTGCGGATCGGTTCGCACATTCCTCAATATTTTTTAATCAAATGAAAATACTCGATATATATAAACTAAACGTATATAAAAATTTATCTTTTGTTTATATGTGGAAGTATGATTTATCTCCTTTAATTTTTAAAGACCTTTTTATTTTGAAACCATTAAGCAAGTTTAACATGAGAAATAATTATTATTTAAATGAACCACTCTGTCGAACAAAGTTCAATCAATTTTGTATCACTTATCGTGCAGCTCATCTCTGGAACAAAATTATTTTGCTCAACTTCGACTTACCACTAACTTACCATGTTTTCAAAAATAAATTAAAAGATCTCATTCTCTCTATTGAAAATATCTTAGAATATTTTTAATTTATCTTGATAAAAAAATGATTTTTATTTTCAAGTTTTGTTTTATACTTGTTTACGATTTATTTTTATTTATCTAAGTGCGATCTAATGTTTTTATGTTATTTTTACGTGCTCATTGTAATAACGTTTTTTTTTTTTTTTTATAATAATATTATGCGTACTCTCTTTTGTAAAAGGCTTCTGACGATAAGATCATTGTGATCTTCTTTTAGAAGCCTTGTTTGTATTTGAGAAATATGTAATTTATATATATATTATGTCAAATGTAAACAAAAACAAAAAAAAAAGCATAATTCCTAGCATAATTTAGGAGCTGTAATTTTCCAAAACATACCCCTAACTTGGCTCTATTGCTGGCATAACCGATAAGTTTTCCTTCCAGAGCAAAAGGTAGGGTAGATTTTCTTCCTGACTTTGCTCCAATAACAACTTTTCCAGAAAGTCTGTCTCTGAGTGTTGTATGTGGCACATTGTACAATATTGCTGCCTTTTGCACTGAAAATGATGGCTCTGATATGACATACTTAATTGCACTCATCATATTTTCTTCACTCCATTTCAGGAATTTACCCGTTTCATAACAGTGACTGATTGATTAATGAAATGACGGGAACCATTGACACGAATTAAAGAGACAGCAATTGTTGGTAGCTGTTTCATTTGACAAAATATCAAGAGTACTACTACCAGATGTTGAAGGAATTGTACCATCATGAAGATTAGTTGTATTATAACATATTGCTGCCTCTATTACAGAAGCAATCTTTCCAACCGACATCCGGTGAAATCTTGGTGATGATCTACATCCACCACCTCTTGTCATGTTTTTTTTCAAGACAATACCTTGATAAATTAAATTGCAATATGAATGTCATATTAATTTAATAAAGTGCTCCAAATTTTCTAGAGCTACAAATATTACCACGTGGTGAAAACCATATGTTTGTATTCGTAACGTAATCCTAACCCTAGAACTTCGCAGTAATGAATTTACAATTAAGTAAATAAGCATTTAGCTAAGTAATTACTAAAGTCTATTAAAGAACAATAAAAACATTCTTATTATCCATAAAATGAGTTTTAAACGTTTCAGTTATTTTAATAACTAGAACATTAGTTCTTAAATTGAAAATAAATAAAACAATCGTAAATAAAATATGCATTATTTCTAAACACTAAAAAATTATTTCTAAATAAAAACATAACATAAAAAGATAAAATTCCAAATTCTTTCTTACCAATAAATATCAGGAAAAGAAAATGCAATAGTACCTATTTGCGATAAATTCTTTGTTCTTTATGCTAATTTATTTGGTTTTGATGAACATGAGCTTTTTATACAATCATTCAACGCAGAACCATACCAATTTTTTTTTTAATTTTTTTTTTTTTTTTTTAATTTTTTAAGCAAAGAGTTTTGTCATATATTAAAATTTACAATGAAATAAATTGTGTTAATAAGAGAACTGGAGCAAGCAGAAGACATAAATTGTCTTATGATCAAGCCCCATCATAAAATTTACATTAAAAAATCTTCAGTTAATATAAAAAATGAAGAGTAGCTAAGTACATAAAAAGAATTTTAAATACGTTAGTTACACTATAACTAATAACATAATATAAATATTAGTGTTGAAATATAACGCATTATATCAAAGATTAGCAATAATTTAGAAGTATTAAAGTTTTTCAACAAAAAATTAAATTAGATTAAAATTGCAAAAAAAGAGAAGTAGTGTCTATAACTATTTTTTTAGATAATTTATTTTATTTCTGTATTATTTTTAATAGAGATATTTTAAATCAAAGTCTTTTTGTAATAAGAGATTCTTAGATTCTTTTCTGAATTTTTCCAAAGAGATG